TTCCAACAATAAAATCGTTTTTTTTGTTAAATATTTCGGCAGTGCTTAATGAATCGTTATTAACTACAATAAAATATATCACAAAGTGGATAGACAAAATTTTCCTATTTTTAAGAATAAAATAAACCATTAATTAGTTAATAGTAAAATTTTTAAATAATGTGCAGAATGTTTCATGAATCCACAATTAATAATTTTATTTACACGGGCAATACTTGTCACAGCAGAGTGATTTGTATAAACTATAAAATAGTTTATAAGATAAATTCTTTTTTAGTAAAAAAAATCAAAGAATTTATCATGATTTTACAATAATAATAGTTTTAAAATATTTTATTTAATAATAAACATTACATACTTACTCCATATTACTCTCATACTAATAAACTTTTATTCTTTATTTATATCGCGTGAAAAATCCCAAAAAGACGTAGGAAAAAATTATTTTTTTTATTACAATACATAAAAATAATTCTACATTAATAAAGCAATATAATAAATACAAAAAATTATACATTAAAATACAAAAAAGTCACCAAAAAAAATTTTTTTTTTCAATTTTTATAAAATGGTAAAAAAAATTTTTCAATTTTTTTTTGACTCTGAAATTTTTGAAAATTGCCAAATTTATTTTTTTAGATCACAAAATTTTTAAATTTCTAAAGCCAAAATTTTTTTATACGCCCTTTTGGCATTTGTCACGCAATATATTATGAAATCGTTTTAAATAACGACTAATAATTAAGCTAGTAACAAAAAAGATTTCTATGTAACATTTACGGCGGATTATATTCCGTATCACCCGAATATGAAGGATGATATTTTACCGCTCTCCCTGAATAATATTTTAAAAATTATTCTATTAATATCATTTGATTTTTCACATTACCTATGTGTGTAATTAGATTTAATATTCACTATGTTATAATTAATAACTAAAGTAATAAATTATTTTATTCGGCGCTGGGTGTTAGTAATTAACAATTACAATCAATTATAGGAATTTCGTCGTAACAACAGAAATTTAAAACTCGGTAGTATTCAAAGTTCTTTTTAATTGTCTCGTATGGAACTTTTTCAATGGTAATAGTGATCATGAATATACATGAATTGAGTCGGCAACAGTTGGTAATCGATGGAACTAACGGAATGGTACCAATGATTAATTTTAAATTGAACACGTAAGGCGATGGTGAAAATGATGATGATAATAATGATCGCTGATCAGTTGATCGCACAAGATTTACATTAGCCGGAGATCAGAAGTCACAGTCAAACATTGCGAGAGATCGTGTGATCACTTCGTCCTGTAATTATAATTAAAAGTTAGCAATTTTTTTTTTGTCAATTACTCACAGAAAAAAAATTTTAGAAATAATTACAATTGTCATTTTTACTACAATTTTTTTCTGTCATTAGAAAAAATTACTATGGAGAAAAACAATATAAATTAATTAATTTTATGACCTTAAAAAATTACTAATGATACGAAAAAAATTAAATTAATATATAATATTTACTAGCAACCTTGCAGTCACTATATAACTGCCGTGACTTGTGAACTATAAATAAATAAAAATTTGCTTTATAAAATAATGACTTTTGTTTAATTGCACCGTACTTTCTTAAATATTAATGTTTTTAAAGATATAAGCTCATCCCGATGTTACACTCATTACACTCATCAAAATCTTTCATTAGAGTACCCACATGCATTTTCATATATTTTTCATATATACATATATATAAATATATAAAATATATGAAAAATTGATGTGGGTACTCAAATGAAAGGTCTTGATGAGTGTAGTAACATCGGGATGAGCTTATATCTTTAAAAATGTCAATAGTTCTCTTTATATATGAAAAATATTTCAAAATGCATGTGGGTACTCAAATGAAAGCTCTTGAATAGTGTAACATCAGGATGAGCTTATATCTTCAAAA